CCCCCCCCCCCCGCCCCCGGTTTCAGTTGACTAGATTATGGGAGCAGCAGCCAAGCACTTTTTAAAGTCCCTGAATTGGGTAAAAATTCCCTCCTCCCTTCCCCTCTGTGCTCAGCAGTACCTCCCTTTCCCTCTCCTCCACTTTCCTCCCCATTCCCCTCTGCCTTCTTCTCCCCCTCCTCTCCCTGCTGGCATTGTCTCCAGTTGCCCTGGGGGCAGTGATAGAAGGAGGCTCCAGAGCTGATTCTGCTTGCTCTTGCTGGGCTCTTCAGGAAATCGGACGCAGCTGGGAAGAGAAGCAACAGCAAGTAGCTTCCTTTTCCCTTCCCAATCCCATGGCCATCACTGTCTCTGGCCAAGAATGGCTCCACACGCAGCCGAGCTGGAGCAACTCTGGAGCTTCCCCCCACCCCTGGGTCAACTGGGGACAGTGGCAGCAGTTAGCAGGGAATGGGACCTGCTGCTCTATAGGGAAGAGAAGGGAAGGGAAGGGCATCTTGTTAGCCAACTGAGGGACTTAAGTCCCCGGCTGTTGTTCCTGTGGTGTGGTCTGCCTGCCCTGGGGTAGGGGGTGTCTGGGAGTAGGGATGCTGCCACCTCTGCGGTGCTGGTTGTTGCTTCTGTATTCTCCTTGACAAAGTCCTGGATCTGTCTCTGCTCAAAGTAGGATCGTCCCTGATTATCCTAGCTAAGTGTCTGTCCAGCATGTTTTTGAAAATTTCCCGGGATGGAGATTCCACAACTTTCCTAGGCAGCTTGACTATCCTCATGGTCAAAAAGTTCCTCCTACTCTCCAACCTAAATTTCCTCTTCTGCAGTTTAAGGTCATTGCTCCTATTCTTGTCATCAATTCATGACACCTATTCTTTATTTCCTGTGAAAAAGGAATCATAGAAAATTAGGGTTGGAATGGACCTCAGGAGGTCATCTAGTCCAACCCCCTGCTCAAAGCAGGACCATCCCCAACTAGATAATTCCAGCCAGAGCTTTGTCAAGTCAGGCCTTAAAAACCACCAAGGGTGAAGATTCCACTGCCTCACTAGGTAGCCTAGTCCAACGGTTTACCACCCTTCTAGTGAGAAAGTTTTTCCTAATATCCAACCTAAACTTCCCTAGACTTGAAACTGTTGCTCCTTGTTCTGTCATCTGCCACCACTGAGAGCAATCTAGCTCTATCCTCTTTATAACCGCCCTTCAGGTAGGGTGGCCATCATAGAGGACATTCCCATTTTCTGCTACCCTGTCCTCCATTGATACAAAACTTGACACTTTTATGTCCTCTATTTTCAAGAGAAAAATAGAGGACATAAAGGTGTCAGGTTTCATATCAATAGAGGACAGAAGACAACTGGACTGTCCTCTATGATGGCCACCCTACCTTCAGGTAGTTAAAGGCTGCTATCAAATCCTCCCCCTCAGTCTTCTCTTTTGCAAACTAAATAAGCCCAGTTCCCTCAGCCTCTCCTCATAAGTAATGTGTGCCAGCCCCCTAACCATTTTCACTGTCCTCTGCTGGACTCTCTCCAACTCGTTCACATCCTTTCTGTAGTGGAAGGCCCAAAACTGGACACAGTACTCCAGATGTGGCCTCACCAGTGCCATATAGAGGGAAATAATTATTTCCCTTGATCTGCTGGCAACAGTCCTATTAATTCAGCCCAGGATGCCATTAGCCTTCTTCACAGAAAGGGCGTACTGTTGATTCGTATTCAACTTATTGTCCACTGTAACACCCAGGCCCTTTTCTTCAGAGCTGCTGCTTAGCCAGCCTGTACATGCATGAGATTCTTCTGTCCTAAGTGCAGGACTTTGCACATGTCCTTGCTGAGCCTCATGAGATTTCTTTTGGCCCAATCCTCCAATTTGTCTAGCTTGGTGTCACCCACAACCTTACTGAGGGTGCACTCCATCCCATCTTCCAGACGGTTAATAAAGATATTGAACAAATATTCTCTTTGAACTAAGGTCTCTTAAATATTTTGGGGAATATTTAGAGACCCAGGAAACTACAGGCCAATCAATTTGATCTCAGTCTCTGGGAAGATTTAGGAAAAAATTATCAAAGAAACCATTCTTGACACGCTAACAGAAGGCAACATTCTGAGGGAAGCGATAGCCAGCACGAGTTTGTTGTGGGTAAGTCTTGCCTGACTGTAGCAGGGCACTAAGGTTAGGAACAATGAGGAAGGAGCCCAGGTGCTGGTTGCTAGGGAAACTGGAGGGAACCAGTGACTCATACCTGTCAGCAGTCAGCTGACCGGAAGGGGCAGGGCCTGGCTTTCATTTAAACCCCAGGACTGAATCCAGGGAGGCAGTTCCCCACAGGCAGCCAGAGGGGAAGGAGCTCTGCCAGACTGAGCTAAGAGGAGAGGCTGGACTGCAGGTACGGCCTGAGATTGGGGAAAGATAGAGTAACCCTGGTGTGGCAGGAAGAATGATGTTTTTGCTGACTGGCAGAGATTTATGTTATAGCCTAGGGGCTTGAGTTTAATGTTTGCTGTTTACTTCCAGAGGTTTGGGTGAGGATATTAGGGAACGGAGGAGGCCTCATTTTTGGGGGTGCAGCTTTTGGGGGGGGCGCAGACCCTAGCGCCAGTGAGGGTGCAGTTTTTTGGGGGGTGCAGACCCCGGTGCCAGTGAAGGTGCAAACTTTTGGGACGAGACTAACCCCGGCACTGGAAGGACGAGCTTAAAAAGGCCAGGGACGTCTGGTGTGGGGGGGTGCAAGGGTATGTGTATATATACATACACACACACACACACACACACACACACACACACACACACACACACACACACATATATATATATAGGGCGGGGGTTGTGTTGTTGCCGGGACTGGCAGGTTGTTCCTGGTTTTAAACCAGTGGCCCCTTTGCTGTGGGGCCAATGCTTGTACACCTGGGCCGGGGGGAGGCCTTGCTCCAAAAGGGAACAGAGAAGGGGGCCATGAGCCTCCAGGCACTTGAAGAAAAAGCTAGAGCCTCGGGGTAAAACCCTGTGTGGTGGGTTTGGATGAGGAGGCATAGCTAGAATAAAAGGGGTCAGGCCATTCTAGGAGAGACCCCAACATACCCAATAGAATAGGCAGTCCCCCACTCTCATAATAAATTCCAGCAAGATGTGGCAGGAGAGACTAGAGTGGGACAGAAGGATTCCATAAAGTGTGGATGACTAGGAAGATGGCACTGGGGAGGGAGACCTGTTGCACTGACCAACCTCATTTCCTTCTATGACCAAGTGATATATCACCTGGACAAAAGGGAAGAGGTTGATATCATATATTTGGGCTTTAAAAAAACCTTTGACCTGGTGTCCCATGATGTCCTCATGGAAAAATTGGGCAACTGCAGCCTCGACTACTCCACTGTCCAATTGCTGGGGAACTGGCTCTGAGGTCGGACCCAGAGAGTGGTAGTTGATGGAACCAAATCAACGTGGCACTCAGTGACTAGTGGTGTCCCCCAAGACTCCATTCTCAGACCTGTACTCTTTAATGTCTTCATAAATGATCTGGACACTGGTGTCAAAAGTGGACTGGCTAAGTTAGCTGATGACACCAAACTTTGGGGAAGAGTGTCCACATTTGAGGATAGGCTGGTGATCCAGGCCAGTCTCGATAGGCTTGCAAGGTGGGCGGATGAAAACCTGATGGCATTCAATACGGAGAAAAGCAAGGTACTCCACCTTGGGGGAAAAAACCTGCACCATACTTATAGCAGTGCTACACTCACTAGCACCATGACCGAAAGAGACTTGGGGGTCATGACTGACCGCAAGACGAACATGACCCACCAATCTGTTTACCAGCTAGCAAAGTAAACAAAACTCTGACTTGCATTTACTAATGCATCTCAAGCAAGACCCAGGATGTCATCCTCCCGCTCTACTTGGCCTTGGTGAGGCTGCAGATGGAGTACTGCATCCAATTCCGGGCTCCACAATTTAGGAAGAACATGGAGAAGCTTGAAAGAGTCCAGAGGAGAGCCACATGCATGATCAGAGGGCAAGAGTACAGGCCTTATGAAGAGAGGCTGCGAGCTATGGGACTCTTCAGCCTGGAGCAGTGCAGGCTCAGGGATGACTTGGTGGCAGCCTATAAGTACATAAGGGGTGTGCATCAGGATCTGAGGGAACGCCTGTTCACCAGAGCATCCCAAGCGATGACAAGGTCCAATGATCACAAACTCCTGCAAGGCCATTTTAGGCTAGACATAAGGAAAAACTTCCTTGCTGTCTAAGCCCGAAGGCCTGGAACAGACTACTCCCAGAGGTGGTGCAAGCACCTACTCTGGATACTTTTAAGAAACATTTGTATGTTTATCTTGCTGGGATCCTTTGACCCTAGCTAACTTCCTGCCCCTTGTGCAGGGGACTGGACCCCATGATCCTGCGAGTTCCCTTCCAGCCCTAATGTCTATGAAATCTATGAGAATAATCAACCACAGGGAAGCTCACACGGCAAGTGTTTGCATGGGTAGCTTGAAATATTTGATTTCTTCTCATCAGTTTATAGACATTTCAGTCTTCCACTCAGGAAGCAAAAACAGCACCATACAATTTAATTGAGTAAACATACATGACAGATACCAAATAATCAAGCCACTCCTTGCTTTTCCCTCCAACAAACGAACTCAGTAGATCAAAGAGAGCCCTTAGGCCAGCGGCAGAGAATTATATTGTGCAGAGGGCCGCTTACTGAGTTTTGACAAGCCATCGAGGGCTGCATGACAGGCAGTGAAGGGCAGATATATATTAATTTTCTAAATTTTTGGGGGGGCCCACAGGCTGGATAGAATGGCCTGGCGGGCCACATCTGGTCCATGGACCGCATTTTGCCCATCCCTGCCATAGGCTGAATCATGTTTCCAAAAAGAGATCCTCAACTAGTTGTTGATTGATGAAAACATTTGAACATAATCTAAGCCTGTTCATGAACAATTTTCAAAGAATAGGAAACACAACATTTATTTGTTGGTATTTAAGCTATTCAATACCAGTACTGTAGTATATTTTGCTCAGCAATAGTTGTAAGTGAATACAAGTGTAACAAATAATTATACAGGATTTCTCTCTCTCTTTCTTCCTCCTTCCCACTCCCCTCCCACCTCGCTGGCCTAGTGTTTTAACTACATGTGTTTTTTATTTTAGAATTTATCCTACTGTACTCATTTCTATACAATCCTTTATGAACAAAGTGCATAGGAGTGGAGGTGGAAGAGGACCTTTAATAAATATCTATGCAGACACACTATAGACTGCAAAGGTTCCTGAATAACAAGCAATTCCTTACCATTGAGAATTAACATCACATCATCATGGTCCACTTGGATTAAATTCATATTCTTTACTGTGTATGCTGATGTGCAATAAAAACAAAAAACAGGTACTTTACTAAACTTCTAAGATTTCATTATTTTATCAAATGAAGAAGACAGCAAGATAGACCCTCATGAAATCTGACAGTTCTCTACTATTCCAGGTTTCCCGAGAAGCTCCCAAGGAACTAGTATCTCCACAGGTCAGATCTGCAGTTAGGGCAGGGGTGAGCAATTTTTTCAGGCAGAGGGCCACTTACTGAGTTTTGGCAAGCCATTGAGGGCCACATGACAGGCAGCCAGGGGCAGATTAATATTCATTTTCTAAAATGTTTAGGGGCCCTGTGGGCTGGATAGAATGGCCTGGCAGGCCACATCTGGCACACGGGTCACATTTTGCCCACCCCTGAGCTAGGGGAAAATAACTTTTGTGAAGCTGTGCCCATTTATACCTGATGAGAATCTAGTCTACACATGAATTCCCATAGGATCATCCACAAAAGAGAAAAGGTATGGGGAGCGATATAGGAGAAAGAAAACAGGGATTCTCTTGGGTCAGCAGAGGACAAGAACTTCCATAAATCAGGGGTGTCAAAAACCTAAATTTGGCCTGCAAAGCCTTGTCATCCAGCCTGTGGTCTTCGAATAGACCTATATGCCACATGAAGTGCATGCTGCATTGGCCCTAGATGTTGCACACAGTGCTCTGAGCCATTCTGGGGTATGAGGGGCATGCAGTGCTCACATCAGACCAGCCCCACATACTGAATCTGGTAAGCAGCACTGGTTTGCAGTCCCAATCCAGCCCATGGACTGGCCCCACACCATTATCTAGTCCATGAGGCCTGATGACTTTGACACCCCTGCCCTAGACGGAGACTGTGCAGGGGTTAGTTTAGGATAGCATTTACTTTCTTTTGTGTGCAGACCCTAGGTCTGACTCAAGTTTACTAACTTAAGCACCAAGGGGGCAATTCTGTCAGCTAGGGATATCACTACTGAACCACAGGAAAAAATGGTGGTGAGGGAATTGGTTATGAAATCTAAACATATTTCATTTTATTTACCTATAAATCTGACTGCTGCCTCTCGTAAAAGGTGCTGTGAGCTTTTTAGATATGCCATGCTCTTATGTAAGATGTCCCCCACCATTTTCCTGCACTTCTTCACCTAGAATACATGAAAGATGCATCTTAAAAGCTCTCCTTCCCACTTTGGCCACCACTGTTCCTAGATCCAAGGACACCATTAAACACCTTCGATTTAAACATGAGAAGTGTCCACTGTCCATCTATGTTCAAGAGTACATAGATGTAGCATTAAATGATCCTTTCAAGGCTGGGTCTCTGACATTACTGATGTGGACTTGTCCTAACCAGGAAGGCACTGATGCCACAGTTGTGCCTACAAGTTGTGCTGGTAAGCTTATAAAATGCTACTATTGGTAGCAATTATTCAACTGGTTGGGCTTTCTCCTTCATAGAAAACCTCTCATTCTTCTGCATGGAGTGAAGGAACCTCTCCCAAGCAGCATTACTGCTGGAGGAAAGAGTAAGAAAAAGAAAATGAAATAGGGCTTCTGTGGTGATATCAGACTCTAATTTCCTATTAATGAGCCTAAAATGGAAGGGGCAGGATCATTACACTACACCTCTGAGCTTCTCCAAAGCCCAGAAGTGAGCAAAGCACTAGATTGATCCCAGCAGCACTGAAAACTGAGAGTCTACATACAAGGTACTTGCACATCTCTTGCAGGACCTGAAGATGGTCACTCAGGGTCAAGTGTCTGAATAAGTTCTTGAGCTGGGTCCATCCCATGGCCAGCGCACACTCTGCCAAAGTGTCTCCACAAGCCTACAAAATTAAGATAGGGGAAGAGCTCCTGAAACTGCAGGAGCAGATGGCAAATGACATTAACAAACTCATAACAATGTAGTAAAGAAACTGATGTCAAAGGTCTTGAGGATTCCCAGGATAAGGGAAGCAAGGATAGGAAGATGTCAAGTATTTCACTGGTACATGGGGAATGATTCTCCTGGCCAGAGTCCCTGAAGATTCCTTACCCAGCTTCCTTAGTTCCGGGAGGCTCACCTTGAGCATCTCAGGTTTATTCTCCTGCATGACCAGCATCAGTGGCACCAGGGCACAATAAATTTCATAATGGACAGCAGGCCCAGGCTTAAATTTGTTCACCTGTTTCAGCATTTTGCCAAGGGCAATGATGACTGTGATGCGCACCTTTTCCCTCTCCTGTGCATGAAACAAAGAAGATAAGGGAACTTCTCAGTGAAACACTTCTTTAGTACTGACTGTAGTCATCCCAGACATACAAGTGACAGTATCTAACATACCATATGAAGAGTGCTGATTCATGCAAATTGTGGATGTGTAAAAAGGCAAGAATAGAGCATTATGCATGCTTAATCAGCAGTACTGCAGTTGCTACACTGCCGCTGTGTGCTGTATTTGCCCCATAAATAGAAAATTTCATTTTCCAAGGCTGTCAGCCTGATATTTGTCATTACCAGTTAATTTACACACTGCCCCACAGTTGTTTTATTGCAATTATAAGATATCCAAGGGGAAATGGAGAAGGCCAGAAAATTGAAGGGAGAAAGTAGATTCCTCAGAACAGTACAATCACCCCCTTCCAATCTGCTGCTTGCCTTCTGGTGAGTTTTAAAATGTGTATCCTACCTAAATCAGCTGATAAGGCTGTGCAGCAGTGCTGAGGACACTGCTGTGACTCAAATTCAGTGCAGAATTTGCTACAATTCTCCATTCCCATGAATGCACAAATAGGCCTGCCTTGCCACCTTGGTGTAGCATAATGCTGTGTCTAAAGAAGTCAAAGCAATGGAAGCAATGGAGTCAGGGGAAGAGGAGGTGAAGGTGATCTTTGGTCCCCTTTTCTCTTTTGTCTTATCAGGGAGCAAAAGAAGTATTATTCATCATGCTGAGCTACGGAGAAAGTCTTGTCAAAATGGCGGCATGCTTCCGAGCGTACAGTAACCAGTATTTCGGGTATCAGCATCCCTGTGCTGAAAAATGGTGGGGGGGCACATTAACTAAAGCTCGTTGAACAAAATAGCTTTAGTTAAAATGCCCTCATCACTATTTTTCAGTGTGCCATTTTTCAGTCCTGTCAAGTCTTTCTCCTTCTCTCCTCCTCCTTGCCCCCCAAAAGTTACCTTGAATGTGCTGGGTCCATAAAGAGAAAAGCAGTGAATGAACAATGGGAGAGAAGCGCAAGTAGTAAAAGATAATGTACGCTGATGTTCTGGAAAGATTCTGCTAACACAGAGGTCTTTTGGGACCTTGAGATTTCCAAGGAAAAGAGTAGAAACCTGCTGGCTACTATTATTAATCTTATTACTAAGGATGAGACTGAAGAAAGCCCTGAAGAAGCAACCCTCCATTGATGCATCACATATGAAGATGACTTAATTCCAGTCCCAATGGGTAGAGTTTTCACAATTACTGCCCTGCTGTTTGTTGAGGGTTTGCTCTCTCAAAGGCTTCTAGGCACAATAATGCTCTGTGACAGTGAGCATCAATAGGGCTTGCAAGGAGGGAACAATATAGACCTGATTTTGCTATGGGAATTACACAAGTACTGAAGGCTCTGTGCCTTCAGCCACTCCATTCATAGTGTGTTCTGGGGCTACCTCACTCCCGTGTACAATATTACACACACATGCATCTCACTCAGAGCATCACCTTACATCAGTGATTGGT